GTCTTCAAAAACTTCCAAGTTCAATTTCATCTGGTCTGTCCACTTACTGGTTGTGACTCGCTGGGCTGAAGGAGCAGGCTGAAGGGGCACACGAGGGTGAACTGGGCGAGTAGATGTAGCCCCACCTGCAGCAGCACGTGGGTTCCCTGCAAACTGGTGCCTACTCCCAGCAGGCATGGTCTGGAACGAGGGTCCACCAGGCCTAGCCTGAGGCTGTGGCCAGCGCGGATTGCGGACATGAGCCACTTGACCGGCTGCGTACATGCCTCGCTGAGCTGGTGGGATTGTTGGGGTGTAGTAATTGCCGTAGTTGGGGAACACTTGACCGACTTGCTGGGTAGGCTGTAATCAGTCCAGTAAATCACAAATGTTAGGTGTAGCCACTGACATCCTTCAAAATCCTTCCAGTTTTTACAGGATTTTGCAGGTTTGAAAGATTTTGAATGATTAACAATGTTTCTAGCAAGGGCGACTGCAAAGGTGGTACATCAACAACATTTACTTTACATTAATTACTTTTCTTTCAACCTCTGGGTTAACACTTCAAAACTTGTTACAGTAAAGTACAGCTTCCAAGGCACACTTCCTATATCCCAAGTAAATGCTAAGCTTAAACCCTTCAAATAGATGACTACTCACAATGCGAATCCCTGTGGAGACACGGTGCATCATCTGGTTGGACAGCTGTGCCTTGCGTTCTTCCTTGCGTTGTGCCAGTGCCACATAGAGAGGCTTGGAGACAATGATACGGCCGTTCATCTCAGTCACAGCCTTAGTGGCTTCCTCAGGAGAGGAGAAGCAGACAAAACCAAAACCCTTGCTGGTGTTCATGTCGTCTCTCATAACCTATCACACCCAAAACATTTGGAATGAAATTGTGGACAAAGTGATGAATAACTTTTCCCCTCAAATGAAAGCCTTATGGTCAATGGTCAAGGCACTACTGAACTAAAAAGCAGGACATAACTGGACTCCCACCTTGGCGCTGGTGATGGAGCCAAACTTGGAGAACTCCTTGCGAAGCTTTTCATCATCAAACTCATCATCCAAGTTCTTGATGTATAGGTTGACACCTTGATAACGGCTGCTTCGCTCCTACAGGGTCAACCAAAGGGTTTAAATAAGCAACTGATTACACTGCAGCAAGGTAGTGGCTGCACAACAAACTTGAAAGGGGTTATGTCTAGTCTCTAGAAGTCGATTTAGTTGAAACTGCTAGTGTATACATATTCAGTAAGATGTTGTTACATTTGTGGCTATTGTTTATTTTAACCACTGTCAAGAATTCCATTTCATTTCCACCTGTTTGAGGGCCTCAAAGCGAGCCTTTAACTCTGCTTGCCGTTCAATCCTCTTCTGAGCACGTCCAGCGTAAATGGATTTACCGCTAATAAGTTGTCCATTCACCTCTTCAACAAACTGGAAAAAGCAATAACAAAGTCTGTTACAATGCATACGATTCCTTTGGTAGCAAAGCACTAAATTATCCATTTGCTGAAAAGTTTGCCTCACAAGATTGTCTTTTTGATGGTTGCTGAGAGCTGTGACAATCTTTCTTCTGATATGGCTAGTCAACCTTTAAAAGTCTTGCCTCTATGAGTAACAGCCTCCAACAGCCGAGAAAATGTGACACAGCTACAAAGATTCGAAGAATTTACCTTGCTTGCCATGTCATCAAATTTATCTTAAAGATGTAGTTTAAAGATGGAGGACGTTTTCTGCAGTGTCTTATGTTGTAGAGTACACCCACAGATATTACACAGACAAGGTCTCATTTTTATTTTACTGTGCAAGTTTAAATTGAATGAGAGAAAAAAAAAGCTCACGTTTTTAGGGATCCAGTGTACACAAAACGAAAAACCGCTTCGCACTGGAGGCATTTATGAATGTTGATAATGCTGGGATGGGATATTTTTTTCTTGTTTTCAAAATTCTTTAAAAATTCATATCTTCATTTACTGGACACACCCACACGAAGGAGTGTCGGATTCTACTCTAATTTGACAGACATCTATTGCTGGAGTATTTCAGCCAGGCCTGCCGCCTTGTAAAAAGAGCCCAGATTGTGCAATGTTATGTAATTTTCTTTTGGTCACGAAACTGGCACAGTGCGCTGCTGACCTCTTTACATTAAGGGCCAGATTAGCGGTACTGCATGGCTCGTCACTGCAGTGGTGGAGCGCTTTTGTCCCCGGTGATAATCTGTTCGCACTGAATGCCCAAACCGTGGTATACTGTTTCAAAACAAAGCTGGATTATCTTCACTATTGAGAGTGAAAAAATGTTGGTAAATCCCAGCAGCCTGGTCTTTTGTTACGAGTATGGTCTTTTGTTAGAAGGCCCAGTTCCCTTTGTCTGATTTTGGAGACCGGCCACGCGTATAAAGAATGTGTCCGAAACCAGAATTCCTGGCGGCAAGTGGTTAACCACTTCCTGCCGGGTGCTTTTAAAAATCCAGTGCACACATACGGGAGATTTTCAAGATTTTCGGTTTTCAGAATTCTTCAAAAATTCATCATTTCATTTAGTGGACGTTTACATCCACACGAATGACTGTTTGGTGGCTACTCTAAGCTGACAATTTGACAATGGCCCTATTACCTTGCCTGCAGCTGTATGGTCTTCAAAGCTGACGAAACCAAAGCCCTTACTACGTCCACTCTTGTCATCGCACATCACCTTCACTGATGTTACAGTGCCATATTTCTCACACATGACCTTCAGTTTTTCTTCATCAAAGTCCTCCCCAAAGTTCTTGAGATAGACATTGGTGAATTTCTTACGTTGGTCACCAAGCTGGGCCAAGCGTTCTTTCTTGGGTACAAATCGACCAACATACCTGCCGGGTGGATATTAACCATATTTTTGAACCATAACCATGACAATTTTGCCTATTACTACAGGAAATCAAGCTTCAGAACAAGTATCTAAGTTTTCCACCTGTTGCCACACACTAAAATAAGTGGAGTCTAAGGAAACTTACACTTTCTGGCCGTTCAGCAACATGCCTGAGACCTTGGCTATGGCTTTCTGTGCTGCTTCCTCAGTTTCAAAATGTACAAAGCCATACCCCTTGGAACCATCTTCTCCCAAGGCCACCTACAAGAGAAAGAAAAACTATGTGGTCATATAAGTTGAAATTAGACTTCAAGTTTTATTACAACAAAAGAAAGTGAAGTCTCTTTGAACACCGACATGGCTCATCCAATCGGCTTGAATTTCTTCATTTTCCTTGGCATACAACAAAATTTCTACGTCCCTCTACCAGTATTCCCCAACCTTATTTCTTAATTCCCCAGGTGGATAAATGTAAGTAGGGGTAAAATGGCTTGCCCAAGGACACAATGTGACCACCAGTTGGATTTGATCTCCTGACCTTTTCATCTGAAATTACAAACCCTACCCATTAGGCCACACTCAAGCAAGGGAAGTTCTGATTTTATAATGTACCTTGCAAGACAAGATGTTTCCAAAGGCGGAGAAGGTGTCATACATGGCTTTGTTGTCAATGGACTTGTCAAGGTTCTTGATGAAGACATTACCAACACCAGAGCGACGTAAGGAAGGGTCACGCTGGGACCACATGATACGAATTGGTTTTCCCTTTAGTGTGTCGTAGTTCATAGTATCAAGAGCACGCTCAGCTGCAAATAAATGCCACTATTTATAATGAAACTGAAAGGAAACTCACTCATTTTGATTCTCAAACAGAAAATGAATGTGTCTCTCTATGCAATGGTAGATTGTGTTTTGTATATTTCGATACAGCAAGTGTATTTCCAGTCTTCAACCATCACTTCCTAGAATGCTTCCTGAAATATACACAAAACTCAGCAAAAAGTCACATGTGAAGTACAGAGACTGAACCCTTCACAAGGAAATTGTTCCAAATCTTTCAATCAACAAACAGAAAAAGGACATCAGGGGTTCACTGATGGAGAGACAAATCAATTTACACTGACGCTGAAATTTGATACCAACAAGAATCAAAGATTACAAAGCATACCTCTGTACCCAACCAATGAATCTTGGAATCTCTACAACTTAACTGATACAGAGCAATATTTTCCGTTTCCATGTAAATCTTTCAAATCAGTACTAAATTCTATGTTGGAATTCTCATAAGACTAGTCTCATACCATCAGCTGGTTGTTGGAAGTTGACATAGGCATATCCCAGTGAGCGACGAGTGATCATATCACGGCACACACGGATGGACAAGATGGGTCCAGCTGATGAAAACTTCTCAAACAGCATGGCTTCAGTCACATCAGGATGCAGGTCTCCAACATACAGGGAACCCATTGGGTAGTTGGCACCACCAGCGGCATTCATTATGATTCAAGGTGTAGGCTGAAAGAATAAAACAAACTCACTTTTGTACTCGTAATGATGAGGAAAAGGCAATAAAAGAGCCTAACTGAAACAATGACTCAGATAATATGTCCTTAAAAGTCAAATTTAGCGGGGAAAATATTGAAGCATTTACTTAGAAAACACTTTTTTCAGGCCAGTCCCATAAATTTGTGCACAGGATGTCAAGTGATACTCACGTATGGAACTCTTTCCCCATTCAATTTCACAAAAATTATTCAGGGTAAATGACAAAATTTACGTCAGTCCAGTGTGTCAGTCCAGCGTCAGTGAAATTTCACAGGATTTTACTAACAACTAACTTCAGAGTCCTAGGCCCATAAAAAGAAATAGGCCTGTTAAATGCAATCTTTGAAAGTGTGCAAATTTAAAATCTAGATGCGCAATTTTTAAATTTTGCACCACCACAGATATTGCCTTGAAAACTGCACAGTGATAAATATTGCATTGATACTTGAACAACAGGCAATGGTTTTACGCAAGAGACTGACATCAACTATACGTTTTGCACGATTTTGTAGGGTCTGTTTCGTATGTGACGTGTGTGAGCTGCATGTACAGCAAGGTATGAACTTTGGCCTATGGGGCTGGGGCATGGTACGTCGAAATTTCACGATTTGAACATTTTGATGAACAGTGCCACGTGACGGCAATTAAATTTCCCGTTGGCATTTAATTAGGACTTTTGTTAGGACTCAATTCCCTTGTTGACATTTAATTTGGACAATTCCTAGAGTCGTGTATGTATTCATTATAAATATATCTGCAATAAAATTAAAAGTAGGGGTTCTTGAACTTTGCTGCAATGCAAATGTGTTATCTTCCTGAGTTCCGACTCTGCTGTTGTGCTGACCCTGCTACCCATAGGCATGTGTTTGCATAGCGAGTGGCTCTCAAGTGTTGCGTGTAGTGACAAGTATTGCTATGGTCCTCGCTGTTCCTATGGGTAGACCTCCCCTGTCGTACCCTCAACAGACTTGAAACGCCTGATGTCACTGTGGTTGAGCCTCCTGTGCTGTACCCTCAACAGTTCTGCATTTATGTAGTTGGCCATGTGACCCTGTGCTGCTGTTTCCTGCTGTTGTACCAGGCTGAGTGACTGTTCCTGTCGTGCATCTTCGAGTTTAACCGCTTCATGCCGGGGCATTTTCCAATGTTGATGATGCTGGGCCGGTATGACTATCATTTTTTCCGTTTTCAAAATCCTTCAAAAATTCATCATTTCATTTAACGGTTGTTTATAGCCACACGAAGTAATCTTTAGGCACTACTCTAAGTTGACAGGTGACCTTCATTGACGCCGGAGTATTTCAGCCAGTACTGCAACCTGGTAAACGGAGCCCAGATTGTGCGGTGTTATATAACTTTCTTTTGTTCACGAACCTGGCTCAGTGCACTGCTGACCTCTTTTCAATAGGTGCCAAATTAACATGCAGCGGTGCTGTGTGGCTCATCGCTGCGGTGGTGGAGCACTTTTGTCCCCGGTGGTAATCCGCTCACTCTCAATGCCCCAAACCCTGGTATATGGTTTCAAAACAAGGCTGGATTANTTTCCTTTGTCCGAGTTCGGAGACCCCGGCCACGTATATAAACCATACGTCTCTGATTCCGGAGTCCCCGGCAGGAAGTGGTTAAGCCCCTTGGAAGTCGAGGAGTATGGGTCAACGCTTGGGACTCGTCGTCATCCAACTGACCAACACGACCACTTGTTCACCAAATCAAAGTTATTAGAACTAAACGAGATCAATCAACAATCATACTGAATCAAGTTGAGAGTGGTGAAAAGGATCTGCCGAGATATGGACGTAGCTAGCTTCACATGAATCTTGGGAACTGTTGAACTTGATTGAATATTGAACTTGATTTATAAGAATTATCCAGAGCCAATAATGTTGATTTTGTGAGCCCGTCTTTTGAACAGCGCTGACAAAGCTAGCCTTAATCAAGTGGGACCAAAACAAAATTTTGTGTGCAAATTAAGCAAGAAACAAATATGAGAAGACAAAAAAACCTTTGAAAGTAGTTGTTTCTGTTTATCTTTATTAGTATAACAACTTTCAAGATGATAGCAAAATGATTGAGAGAGAGACCACAATAGAGTTTATAAAAAGCGAGACTGATTCACTGCACTTCACTGGAATCTGTCTAGGGGAGGGAGTTTAACAGGGCTACTTGCGCATTGTGGGTAAAGCCAAGCCTGGGGCAGGTAGTTGGCAAGATAACTTCCAAAGGTTGATCATCTATGGGTCTTTCCATGAAGTTGGGGAACATCTGCTTATTTGCCTATGGTCTGAAGACTTTAGAGTAAATCACATGGCTACTCAAATGATTAGCCACTTAAATTGACATCATAACACAAATAGAGAGGTGTATTGTTGAACCATTTTGTTCATATTTGTGGAAACATTTTTTGCAGCATAAAGCACGAAAAATAGTTTCCGTAGAACAAGTTTTTGGAGACAAAATAAATGGGCATTTAAGAAATGAAGACAGTGGATTGAAAGTAAATGTAAACAATGTCATTTTTTTTACAAGTTCGTATCTATATCAACCCTCCACAGTTCACTGCATAGTTTATGTTAAACACTCCTCCTTCATCAGTGAGCCCCTATTTTGTTCGAGACACAACATATGGTTTCCATACATAAATAGTCGCTTTACATCTGAAACAGGATTTCATTTCTTGGACCTGGAAAATAATCGTTAACTAGATCACCATGGTTTGAGAACTACAACCCAGATGTACTTTTGCTCAACTCGGCATTCACTGCTGTATTTCAGTTCAAAAGAAATAATTTGTTCTTGCCAGATTGCTTAGTCATGTTAGTGTGGTTTCTGCAGCCATTCTGTTGTGTCCACAACCCTTGGTAATTCCTAAAGTGGAAGCGTGTGCCCCTCATTGGAAATGGATTCTTTCATGTTTCAACAGCTCTTTCTAGAATTTACCAAACAAAACATCACGTGCCATAGTTGTCAGGCACGTATTTACCCGCTTATCGAACATGGAGTTTCCACACGCTACGTCCGTGATGCAGTTACGCCACCCTAAGTTTGTCAAAAGTAAATTCGGCTATTAGAGAACAGTATCATTGATTTCGAAGTACAAGATCGTAGAAAAACTGAATCCTTAAAATTTACAACACAGGTAGTGTGCTTATGCTTCGTAAGTTTTGATTATTTACAATTTACAATTGATCGGAAAAAATCCAGATGGTTTCCAAGTTATGTCCAAATCTTGTTATTGCAATGACCATTAGTCCATTATCATTATGTAATGATAATAGGGGTGGTACCACAATCCCCTTGGAGGAAACATGCCTTAAACTCGTACATAAACAGGTTTTGAGCACATTTTCAAACCGAAAACGTTAACCAGCTAAAGTTAAGCAATCACTCTAGCTTTTTATACTTCTGTGACAGAATTATTATCTAAACATAAAAAAAGGAAAATTATGGTATATGTCCCCACAGGTCAAAACCGGTATAGCCTTGTTGCTAATACGTCTAGTTCCACATGTCCATCAACTCAAGGATTAACAGTAGAGTGATTCCGCGCTGTGAGAAACCGTACTGGCGAACACAATGTGGTGCATGCATGCCGTTGTTCCCCGTTCGTGCCCTGTGCGGGCCCATAATTCTTTTTTGGGGGAGACGATCTGTACTTACTGATACATATTTACTCGTTTAATGGGCGACCTTTATTTAATTGCAGCATAGGTCATTATCTTTTCTGAACAACTTTATAACCTAAATTTAAAAATCTTGATTTTTTCTTTACCTTTTTTGGGGTGTGATTGCCTGATTTTTGGGGGGAGGGGGGTTGGTATTTAACGGTTCAATTTCCACTTTATTATCCCAAATGCAAATGCAGCGTTACTTCCATTCAACTTTTGGACATCAGTTTAAAAAAAATACAAGCTACAGCCGACATTACTTTATGAACTCGGAAGTACACTGTAAATGAAAATGTAACATAACTCCATCGAATGTATCATAGCAAAGAATAAGTTTATTCTCCTAACCATAGTACAGTGTTGCGTAAAAATTAAATTAATTAAAAGGAAATACAAGTTACAACCGACATTAAGTGCCGTTCGACATAACGGCAGAAGATGCAAACTGCCATGCCCCATGCAACAACGGCCACCTTGACAAGTACCACATGTTGCCTAGGCTTGATGCACATGAACGACGTTGAAGCGTATCAGCCTCCCGGCAGTTTAACCGAAAACAGCAAATTAGGTGAATGAGAAACCAAATTATTGTTCACGATGACTGCAACAATATGTAGGTTCTACGCAGGGTACTTGTGACCAAGGTACAAGTTGTCTCATACATGAAGGTATGACTTGTCTACACTGGAGGTACGAGTTGACCAAAGTACGACTCGACAAACTGACAAAGGTACGACTCGGTGCAATTCTGTTGAGTTGTCCAAGGTACGAATCGACCTGTTACTGTTACTGTTAGTATGGTTAGTGTTACCAATTTCAATACGGGCCCAGGGCCTACGGTAAGGGGTCCGTAGGGGAAGATTTGCAACCAAGTTCCATTTCTAAGGAAAGAAGCAGTAACTACACAAAATATGTTGAAGTTCACAGAAAATTACGCCTATGTTATCCAACTTCTCACACTTAGCGTAAATGCGGTGACGTTGGTATAGATTGCGGCGTGGTCACAAATAGCCATAGCCTATCACGTCAGTCAATGCCAGGCTTTGCATGCCAAAACGAGGCGTTACTTTCGAAATGTTCCAGATGTTGACTTACATTTTGTGGCAGATTCTGGGAAGAATGTAAATCTCGCAGTTTCCTCGTCTGTAGCAGTAGACAGTGACTTGAAGTTAATTTTTTTAAGTTTTTTTTTCACGTTTTAAATTTTTTTTTTGTATTTTTACGTTTTTTAAAATGAGGTTGTGTGAACGAAGTCACTGTACACACAACGCTCTGCGTGTGAAGAGCTAGAGGAAAGGAACACGAATTGCCTGGCGCTCGGTCCTTAAATATTTCATATCAATATTAATACGCGTGACGTCAATTTCTTGATAAACAATCATTTACTCTGGAGCAAAGCGTAAGCTATGCAAAGAAAAGTAACAATTGAATTGTTTCGTTGACGAATAATAAATACATATCTCATTATTAAGTTTATATGGAAGAACTAATGCTTACACCACGAACTACATTTTTTGTTTTGGGATGTAATTCGGCTTTCGACGAACCCTGTTTCTTGCCCAAATACGAATAAAAAACCGCATTTTAGCAGGTGTCCGTCTTTTGAATCATGTGCATTGCTGTGCTAATGTTAATTCTAGCTGGTTCCCTGCATTTGCCTCTTTTCGACAGCTTTGTTGCGCAATGCAAAGATGGGAAAGACTGGCTCCACTGTCTTTGCTACAAACCGGAGGACTAACTTCTTTACGCCGTCTTGCAATGGGAGCAGACATTTCGAATCCAAGTGCGTGCTTGTAGAGCATTTGAGATCAGATACAATGAATATCGAATGATTTATTCTAAATGCAACACGCAAGTACAACATAAGCGAACTTCAGACGCACACGTAAAGAGCATAGGCTTGCTGTAATTACATCCATAGCTCCGTCGTCCAAGTACTGTGCGCAACAACCTCCACTACGGGATGTTATACGGGTGCACCCTTGTATTTAGGCTGGAAATTTGTCCGCCGAGCTCATTAATAATATTCTATATTAGAGGGTCTTGAGAGCCATGGAACTGGGAATTGAAGAAATATGAGACTGAACCTCTGGGCCGAACTCAGGGCTTCCAATTCTGAGCAATTTGGATGCAATCGGGTCCGAAAATGGCACTATTTGAGCCATTTTGGAATGGTTTTTCAAAATGGCTACTTTTCTGGACAGGGACATTTTCTTCATTTTAGGGGTGGTCTGCTTCTGGTGAAAATTTCTCAAAAACTCATTGGTCGACCCCCCGAAAAATGAAAGGAAAATGAAAGGGGACATGTGGAACATCATTTTTCTGTGCAGCCTGAACATCTATGAGAGTTGTGAGTATTTTAAAAATATTTGTGAAGTATGGGGATTTATCACTGCTGTCTATGGGAATTTATTTGTAGGGGTGCACCCTATATATATAAGTTGCAGGTGCGTGGTGGCTAGCTGACTCTAATACATGCGAAAAAATGGATAAAACTAGCCGCAAACTCGGAGAAAGAAAAACGTCAGTCAGCCAGCTAGCCACCGTAAGGCGCCCTCTCTCCTCAAAGATCTTAAGACGGCGTCAAAATTTCTCCGCTCGAAGAATGAGAGGGAGGCATCCTAGCTCGTTCTCATGGGAACGATCCTGCCGCGCCATGTTGGCTCCCACCATTATGATACCCACCATGCCTTATGTGAATGAACGCGCACGCAGCCCGTGGAGACGAGGATGGAGAAGTAGGCGCTCTATTTTTTTAGGTGGGGTACATACAGTACACCAAATACTTTCCTACAAGAAAACAGTTTTCTTAGAAGTCTTGAGAGGAGACTACTCTCCACGCCTCGTTGTGGGGAATTTTCGCATTAAAAATTTCCATTCCTTAGCTTTGAGAAACCCTCCTGCCTTGATCAACGAATTGGAAAAAAATATTTTTTTCCAAGATAGTTATCAAGACAAAAAGCGTTTTGAAACGACCAAAAACCTCGGCTTTGTTTGTTTCACACGGATCTGGATCATGATCAGTGCACTCCCTCATTGGCACTAGAACCCGCAATGAAAAGTGTGAACCAGAACTTTAGGATCCTGGCACTGATCGGAATCTGGGCCCATGTGAAAAGCCAACTTGCCAGGCTCTCCAATGGGATGCTAGCCTTCATTCTTAATAATTAGAACTGAGGTCGGCGCTTCAACCTTTCCCCTTCCTTCCAAAATTAATATCTAACCCATCTATGTATCACACGTAATTAAAAATGTTCACATGTAGGCCTAACTCCTTTATATGATGTGTGTATGGAAATTTGGTTTGATGTGCGAGTTCAATAGAACCTGAAAGTATAAAGGTCACGCCCTGGCAGCGAGCTTATAGGACCTTCGCGCGGTCCTCAGTCCATTGGACCGCGCGTCCTGTCACGTTTGATAAGTTTGGGAAGAACGATTTCTAACTGAAACCACCCCATGAAACACTAATGTTGGAATTTTCCCTTTGTTTTCGTCAAGTACTACATGTATAGGTTTTCCCGGCCGATTTCGGAAAACGTGTTAATGAACTAGTAATAGCAGCATTCGTTTTCGAGCGAAGTAGAACGACCATTCAAATCTCCGTTTCTATTTAACAAATACAAATTTTATTTCAAGGAGGGTACATACAGTCGTATAGAGTCAGCGTTCAATTTCCTGATGTTGCACTGGTTTAGTAGTATACTGACATTCATGTTTGCGCGAAACTGAATGCACCTGTGCAATCTTGCATTCACCTTAATTTGAACACAGGCTATTTCGCAAAATATGCAGGCATTTTCGTCTGTGTGTTATTTAAGGTATGCCTGATCAAGAATTGGAATTTGTTTGTATACTAACAGAAGTTGCATAATAGAAGTGTTTAGTTGATTGGTTAAATGTCTGAATTTCATGATTGCAATAAATCATTCATGTTGTCATTGGAAACTACCGACTATAGTGGGAATCGTACTAAAAACAACGGCGCTGAGGGAACCTCCCTTCTTGTGCTTCGTTTCAATCATAGAAACCTTATTTTTTCAGTTTGATAACAAACACACCATAAACATTTATAAGTAAAATGACATTTATAGGTTTCCCCGGTCAATTTTGGAAAATGTGTACGTGGATTTGTAATAGCAGCCTTCGTCTTCGAGCGAAATAAAACAATTCAAATCCCCGTTTCTATTTAACAAATATAAATTCTATTTCAAGGAGGGTGCCTTCAATCGTATAGAGTCACCGTTCAATTTCCTTATATTGCATCGGTTTAGTATGTTGACATTTATTTTTGCGCGAAATTGAATGTACTTCCGCAATCTTGAATTCATCTTAATTCGAACACAATCTATTTCGTAAAATATCTATAGGCGATTTTGCGCGAAGCGTTATTTAACATATGCCTGGTAACGAATTGGAATTCGTTTGTGCGCTAACAGAAGTTACATTCTTAGAGGTGTTTATACAAATAGTTTAGTGGTTAATGTTTGAATATTCATGACTAAAATAAACCATTCAAGTTGCCTTTGGTAACAGAGCGACTATTGTAAGAATCCCATATAAACACCGACTCTGATGAGGGAACCTTCCTTCCTCTGCCACAAACGCATGATGCGAAGTAAGAGTTAACACATGCTTTCTTGCAATGGCTGAACGAAGGAGACACAGAAAAAAATCTCAGACCTTGAACGGAATCGCCTCATTGATGCCTGTGAGGATGTCAACGCTGACTATCTCCAGGTAGCAAATACGTTGGTCATCAAACACTCAACAGCCAGATCAATTGTTGCTGTATATCTTAGAGATGGTCGTCATAACAAGCTGCCACTAGGAGGACCCCAAAACTAGAAGGTTGACGAAGACATGAAGATGTCCTTCTGCGTTATATAGATGATAACCCCCTCCTAACTTTACAACTCAATGATCACCTGCGAACCGAATCTTCCCGATAAGCCCTTCGTGACTACCAGCACCATCGCCAGAACTCTAGATGGTATGTATCTAACTCGAAAGCTAACGAAAGATGTTCCCGAACAGAGAAATTCGCCGCGGGTATTACATGAAAGAGTCAGATATAGCGCGCTGTATTCAACGACAAGACTGGGTATTATGGACCCGTCGGTCTCACGGCCGTGGTCACGGTCCTCGTGGAGAGCCAGCAAGGCGAGTCGTTCATGACCAGAGAGGCAAGAAAGTCAATATCACGTTTGCCATTTCTGGTGAAGTTGGACTTGTGGCTCACGGAATATCATCGGATACTGTGACGAGAGAAACGTTTGAGTTCCTAGCGACAATAGTACTGTACAAGAATGCGATATGCCATTCCCAGCTGGTGAACGAATACCGGTAAATCTGATATATAACAACGCTCGGCCTCAAATCCGAGTCGAACTACCCCTTCACGCCGACAACTTTACCATCAAGCTGCAATTACCCCATATTCACCATTTTTGAATCTGACAGAAATGGCACAGAGACTCAGCTTTCAAGGCGGAAGTGAAGCACACACCGGGATTTACTGAATAGCAGGCCAGATTTGGAGACAAAGCCGCCAGAGTCCAAACTGGTGTAAACTTGCAAGTATGGACTCTCTCCCGGTCTCCAGGAAGTGGCTGCACTCAACATTGGCGAGATGACACCTGCAAAGTGCACAGCCTGATACAACCATGCTCAGACGTATCTCCCTCGATGCCTTGCCAGACAGATCACTGATGTGGATTAAAATGATAAAATGAGAGAGGACTTTACTAAATAAAAAAAGAATCCAAAAAGTCTTAAACTCTCTTTGCGAGAACCACGACAAGTTACATTTCCCTAACATCCTAACAAAATCTTTTCATTTTGTTCAGATTATTTTGGTAACATTTCATTTGTGTACACTGTTATAAAGACCTTGATTTATATATAGTTTGATAACAAACACACTATAATTCTTCATGAGTTACATTACTGTCATTATCAAAGTGGTGTCTTGATTTAACCCTGTATATTCTAATCAGATCGAACGCATATTTTGCCGGTTTGAATTACAGCAAATGAATATGAATACTCAATACCGATGATTTACGGTGAAAGACAGATTTTCGGTGAATAAGACTGCACATTAGTTACAATTGGCAACAAATACGTCAAATCGAAGTACCAATTACTTATTTGTAACCTCTTAAATGAAATGTAGGCCTAATGCACATTCATTTATTTGAAGGATGCAAAACGAAATGAAACCAGGTTTCTGGTCGTTTTCAAAATCTACGCTAAATTGAAATTTTATTTTAAAAATTAGATCGCGCACTATTTCGCCGAAATTGGTCGAGAAATAGATATCTAGGAAAAGGTACATGGAGATCCCCGTGCAACCTAGTAAAAAATATCGATGCTGTAGTTGGTGCTCAAAACGGAATGACATAGTCAACCGGTGAACAAACCCAGTTTGTGTGGCACTGACCCTTCAGTGTATTGCAGCATGGACCGCATCAGGTTATCTAAGATTAAAACGACTCACATAAATCTTCAAGGACAAACAAGAAATCAAATTGCAAGTACCAACCAAGGTGACACATTTGTTGAGAAAACTCAGGTCCAGGGTTTGCCTACGTTGCTTGAGTGTATTGAAAGATGACGCATATCCTGTGATTACCACACTGTTGCCAAGGCCACAGTAGAATTTTCCTGGAACGTGCTCGATGCGCTCCATTTGAGGTGCAGATATTGACTTGACCTAGGAAAAGTCCGAAGAAGACTGGGTTTTGCAACGGAACAATAAAGCGGTTGCTTGAGATCCATTTGTTGTTGCATTTAAGCCTGAATACGTTGTATTCCCTAAATACGATTTAGTTTAGAAACAACATTGTCAGAAGTTGGAGTGAGTGTTAATTGTAACCTTAAAAGATCTGGGATATTTTGGACCATCGATTTTTTTTAAGACTCGACATGCAACTCAATCTGGAATTTGGTTTTGCTGTTTTTGTCATTTGAAGTTCAAGGCTACGCGCGTGCCAGCCCATGTGCATTGAGTCCGGCAGTTTCGGCTGACCTATCCCGGGAAAACGGACCTCCATTAAAATAACAGAATAACAAAATAATTCTCATGGTTGGCGACTGTTCCCGATGGGGGGAATGAGATGGTTCCTAATCGGTCAAAACAGACTGTTTCTTTGACGTCAAAGTAAGGAATAGTTCATGTAGTATGGTTCAGTGTTTGTCTCCGAGTCTGCGGAGAAAAATGCAGATACATTCCTGAGATCCGACAGTGGAACTAACTTGGTCGGTGCAGAGCGAGAGATGAGGCAGGAGATAGAGAAATGGAACCAAGCCAAGATTGACTCCAGCCTAAAGCAGAAAGGTATACAGTGGGAGTTCAACTGCCCGTTGGCCTCTTACCACGGTGGAGCCTGGGAAAGGCTCATCCACTCAACACGGAAGGTGTTGTACGGCGTTATGAAGTAACAGCCAATCAAGATCGATAATGAAGGCCTCCAGACACTATTCTGCAGAGGGCATTCTGAACAGTAGGCCTAGACCCATCACCAGGACTTCAAACGACCATATTGGTGAAGAAGCACTTGCCCCCAACCATCTGCTGCGCCCGGATTCCTACCAATGACCACCACCTGGCATCGTCGTCAAAGAAGACGTGTACTTGAAGAGGAAGTGGAGGCAGGTGAAGTATCTGACCGACGTCTTCTGGCGCAGATGGAGCCGCGAGTACCTGGTTAGATTACAGGAGCAGCAGAAGTGGTACAATGAGACTCGGAACATCAAGGTTGGAGATGTGGTCGTTGTCGTGATTAGCAACCTCGTACAGAACAGATGGCCCATGGGACGAGTCATTGAGGCTACTCCGAGTGAGGACGGTTTGTTGAGAAGCGCAACAGTACACACATGTTCGTCAGAACTGAGGAGGCCCATCACCAAGTTGTGCCTCTAGCTGGAAGCAGACTAGCCACCCTCGGATCCAAGTGCTTCAGATCAGACTGTTATTCGCAGTAACCTTGAACCAGTGTCTTATGATTACTTTAGTATGCTAAGCTTAATAATTGTAGTTGTTGTAGTAATTGCTCCTGACCTTTGGTCCCACAAGTACGGAGCCGGGATGTTGTGAGATTATTAAGTGTGCACGTAAGTTCGACAGAGGGCGCTTGACAAAGCACGCAATCAGGATCCCAAGGGTGCACCACTACAAATAAATCTCCATACTTCACAAACATTTTAAAAATACTCACAACTCTCACAGGTGTTCAGGCTGCACAGAAAAATGATGTTCCACAGGTCCTCTTTCATTTTCCTTTCAATTTTCGGGGGGTTGACCAATGAATTTT